TAGTCTCAGAAAGACGGTACTACATGGTGGTGCCAAGGAGGTTTTTATGGAAGAGGATGGTGTTCTACAACTCTAGGGTTGTTTATGTGTTCCTAATGTCGATGGCTTGAGGGAGAGGATTCTAGAAGAGGCACACAGTTCTCGGTATTCTATTCATCCAGGTGCTATGAAGATGTATCGTGACCTGAAATAGCATTATTGGTGGTGGCAGATGAAGAAAGACATAGTTGAGTATGTAGCTAGGTGACTAAATTGCCAACATGTCAAGTATGAGCACCAGAGGCCAGGTGGCCTACTTCACCAGATAACTACACCTGAGTGGAAATTGGAGCGCATTACTATAGACTTCGTGTTGGGTTACCGCAGACCTTACGGAAGTTTGATACAGTTTGGGTCATTGTCGATAGGTTGACCAAGTCGGCACACTTCATTCCGATTGTGCCTACATATACTTTAGAGAAGTTAGCCCAAATTTATATTCGGGAGATAGTTTGGTTGCACTGTGTGCCTGTTTCCATCATATCAGATAGAGGCCCTCAGTTCACTTCACATTTCTGGAGAGTCGTACAGAGTGAGTTGGGACCCGTGTAGAGCTTAGCACAACATTTCATCCACAGACCGACGGGCAGTCAAAGCGGACAGTTCAGATATTGGAGGACATGCTAAGAGCATGTGTGATTGACTTTGGGGGACAATGGGATCAGTTCTTGCCTTTGCCCAAGTTTGCTTACAACAACAGTTATTAGTCCAACATCGAGATAGCCTCATTTGAGGCTTTATATGGTCGGCGATGGCGTTCTCCCATCAGGTGGTTTGAGCCCGGCAAGGCTAAGTTATATGGTACTGATTTGGTAAAGGATGCCTTGGAAAAAGTGAAGTTGATCCAGGAGCGACTTCGCACAGTACAATCCAGACAGAAGAGCTACGCTGATCAGAAGGCGTGTGACATATCATTTATGGCCGGTAAGAAGGTTTTCTTGAAAGTATCGCCGATGAAGGGTATTATGAGATTCAGAAAGAAGGGCAAGTTGAGCCCACGGTTTATAGGCCCATTTAAGGTGTTGAGGCGAGTTGGGGAGGTTGCTTATGAGCTTGCTTTACCTCCCAGTCTGTCAGGGGTTCATCTAGTTTTTCATGTGTCTATGCTCTAGAGATATCACACCGACTTGTCTCATGTGTTAGACTTCAGTACTATTCAGCTAGATGAGAGCTTGGGTTATGAGGAGGAGCCAGTTGTTATTGTTGCTAGACAAGATCCCCAGTTGAGATCCAAGAGGATTTCCGCGGTAAAGGTCCAGTGGAGGGTCAACTAGTCGAGGAGGCGACCTGGGAGTCCGAAGAGGACATGCAGAGCAGATAACCACACTTATTCAGCACTTCAGGTATGAATCTAAACCCGCTCAAGGACGAATGTTTGTTTAAGAGGTAGAGAATGTAACCACCCGACCGTTCTCTTTTCTTTCTAGAACACCATTCCCCTAAATAAGACTTTTCATAATTGCTTTTACTGATTTATAACTTGCAGGGATGATTAGTTCGGGATTTGGAAAAGTTCGGGTTGAAATCGGAACGCTTGGTTCCTTAAGGTTGGCTTAAAAGGCCAAGTTTGATTTTGGTCAATATTTTTGAGTAAACGACCTCAGAATCGGGATTTGACGGTTCCAATAGGTTTATATGATGATTTCGAACTTGGGCGTATGTTCGGATCGGGTTTTGGATGACCCGGGAGCATTTTGGCGCCTAATAGTGAAAGTTGGTTCTTGAAGAATTTTGAAGTTCTTTAAATTTGGTTTGGAGCGGGTTTTGGTGATATTAAGGTCCAAACGGAACTACGAGATCTGGAATAGTTCCATAATGTCATTTAAGACTTGCACGCAAAATTTGGTGTCATTCCGAGTAGTCTAAGTATGATTCGGCGCATTCGGTGAATTTGGAAAACTTAAAGTTCAAAGTTTGATTCAATTTGGTTTTGGGGTATGATTTTTGGTTTCTTTGTTGTTTTCCGCGTTTTGAGAATTCAAGCAAGTCCCTATTATGATTACAGACCTGTTAGTGCCTTTGGACAGGGTCCCGAGTGGCTCGGGTGAGTTTCGGACCCCTCGAAGCAAAGTATGAGAAACCAGAAATGCCTAGTTCTGGTTTCCTTCTTCACGAATGCGAAGGGGCCATCACGTTTGTGTAGAAGGAGTTGGGGCTGGGAGGAAAATATGCTACGCGTTCGCGATAGCTAGTCCGTGTTCGTGAAGGTCTGGGGCCAGTGACCTTCACGTTCGTGTGAGGCAACTCGTGTTCGCGTAGAGTAGCTGGTCCGGGCTGGGGCCGCTTTATTCTTCGCGTTCGCGAAGCAACCCTAGCGTTCACTAAGGGTAGGCCAAGCCAGCCTCGCATTCGCGAGACCTTGGTCGCATTGGCGATGAAGAATCTCTAGGGGGTCTGAGCCATTTGCCTTCGCGAATACGAGGCCTCTTTCACATTCACGAAGAATGAGACAGCTGTGCAGTGAGTTTTAAAATCGGGACTTAGGAATTTTTGGGGTCATTTATTACACTCTTGGGCGATTTGGGAGCTCTTAAGGAGGGGGTTTCCACCTAGCTTTGTGAGGTAAGTAATTTCTACTTAATATGAGTTTAATACATAGTTTATGGGTAGATTATGTTTAAATTAGTAAAAATTATGTGTTTAGAGGAAAACCTAGGTTTATGATAAAAATGAGATTTTACCACGAAAATGGTTATGAAACTTAGTGAAAATCATATATTCAAGTTCCTAATGTTATGGGTAACAACTTTCTTCAAAAATTTCCAGAATCCAGGTACGTGGGCCTGGGGATGAATTTCGGAAATCTTGCATTTAAAGTTGGATAATTACTTTAATAGTTGGGATATGAACTTTTAAGCCTATATTGATTAGGGTTCACGCTATTTGGATAGTTTTGAATTGTTCGGCGCCAAATTGAGAGTTTGGGCATAAGCATGGACCGGAAAGTAGGCTTTGAAGCTAGGTAAGTCTCTTTTCTAACCTTCTAAGAGGGAATTTTTCCTATAGGTGAATTAATTAATATGTGGTTATTTATGGGGACTACGTACGCACGAAGTGATGAGAGTCCATACATAGTTACTATTCCTCTTATGTTCTGGTAGTTTCAGGCTTCACTATACTTTGTGGACATTGTTAACTGATTATATTTGTTGATTGTATTGGATAAGAACTAAGTTGAAGATTTTAAGTATTTCTAAGGTTTCAAGTAAATTATTATTTTGAAAAGAATTGTGGAAAGTTATGTTATATTTATAGTTAACCATGTTGCAAGTATATTCCTCAAGCGGGGTGACTATTTCCACAAATCTCATGGGAGCGGGCCGTTCGCCTCTGCAGGTTAATAGATGCATTTATGGTTCGCGTCGTTCGACCCTCGGCAGTGCACAGTTTACATTCTTATGTTGGATCGGGCCGAACGTCCTCGGTGAAATTTGTGTGTGATAATAGAACTGGAAGCTCTTTTTATAATTGGTATAAATTTACTGTTTTAGAGATCGTTTGTTTTAAATGAAGGAAGTACTATTTTGGGTTCTTAAATATGATGGAAGAACTGTTCAATCATTTCGTTTTCTGAGTTTATTGTTAGTTCTGCATATCCTGCTTATTTAGAATCACATATTATTATATTGTTGACCCTAGTAAGTGTTGGAGTCGACCCATCGTCACTACTTCTTCGAGGTTAGACTAGATACTTACTGGGTCCATATTTTTATGTACTCACACTATACTTCAGTCCTTGATTGTACAGGGTTTGAGGTAGGTGCATCTGGCCACCAGTCCGGCGCGTAGACTTGGTTCCCCAGCTTGAGACTTCCCGGTGAGCTGCCCTTTGAGCCGTTCTGCAGCAGTTGGAGTCTCTCTTATGCCTTTATTTTCTGTCTATTTCCTTTCAGACAGTAGGCTAGCATTTATTTTGTATATTCTATTAGATTGCCCACATACTTATGACACCAGGTCTTGGCACACACACTAGTAGACTTATGATTTTGGTTTGCTTACCTGATTACGATTTGTACTTATTGCTTCCATTTATTTATGTTACAATTACAAACTCCTAAATTTTTAAACAAACAAGGAAAATTTATCATTTACTAATTTATTTAAAACGGGAAATCACTAGTTGATCAGTGTTGGCTTGCCTAACAATGGTGTTGGGTGCCATTACGGCCTATAATGGAATTGGGTCGTGACAATTCAAATTTATCCCTAAACCTTAGCGAAATTAGTCATCTATTAAGAGTTGGTTTTAAAATGACCTTGCTGTCGCAGAACTATCATAATGGAGGGAATATATATTGTCCAGAAAGAAATCAAATTATCTGGTTGATAATAACAACAACAACATATTCAGTATATTTTCACAAATGGAGTCTGGAGAGGGTAATGTGTACATAGACCTTAACCCTACCTAGTGAAGTTAAAGAGACTGTTTCTAATAGACACTCAGCTCAGAAAGGATGAGAAGGAGGAAGAGGAGAAGAAGAAAAAGAAGAAGAGGGAGAAGAAGGAAGAGGAAGGAGGAGAAAGAGAGAAGAGAAAGAGGAAGAAAAAGAACAAGTAGTAACAATGGAGAGTACAATACTTAAAGGCGAACTAACCACATGACCCAAATGAGAAACGTTCAACTACCTACTAATCTTCTGCTCTAATCCTTAATCTATCAAGGGTTATGTCCTTATTAAGCTGAAGCTAGCATCATATCCTGGTTGGTTTAATTTCTCAAATTATCAGTCCACAACCCATTTAATTACATTTCGTGTTTTATTATTATCACTTAATCCTGTTAGCTGGCCTCACAATTCACTACCCAAGTAACTTCTCTTTGACTTGAGGTGTCAGCAAATGGTCCCCACAAAACCACATTTCAAATGGAGAAAGTGTCCTAAACACAACTTTTGTTGGTTGTGGTGACCTATAACATAAAATTCTCTCCGTCATGTACTTTTGGTCATTGTTTAATTAGGCAGCGCAGATCTAGCACTGATCAAGTCTTCTTCATTTCCTCTATAGTCCACACCGTGTTTTCTTAGTCTCGGGTCTTATGAACTATATCGGGGATGAGCTCTTTTTTCTAGCAAAAATAAAATACTCCAATTAATTTCCCTCCTTTTACATTATTAGGTGCAGGCGCTGGATTCTGTGTCTTGGGCGTTTGAGCACTTCAATCACTGTACAAAGGTGTTTGATATTGGGTTTCCTTCCACCAATATGAAACTATGAAAGTAAGCAGTGTCTTTCTTTTCTTCATTTTACACTATACAAACAAGCTAAACATATATTGTTTTGTATATATACCTCTACGTTCGTTAGGTACGATGAGAAGAATTAACTTAAATAGCCGCTCACCCAATAACGTAAACTAAAAATAGTAACCAATGAATGACCGGTTATTTGTGTAAAAATCCCGGGGATAAGCTCTGTCTACACATACTCTCCCAGACCACACTCGTGGGATTCCACTTGGTTTGTTGTTGTATATAAATGGACCGTTGAATCTCCCTAAATGTGCGCACTCATTGTACAAGTTGCATGTTTCTGAATTCTCTTGTTAGAATTTCTGGCTGCGCCACTATGTAATACTTTACTCTGATGGAAAGTAGAAAAGAAATGAGAAAACCAAAAGTTTCAGATATCTTGTTCTCCTTTATGTGTTTCTTGAGAAATGCACTTTTCTTATGGGTTGATAGGTTGGAGATATAAGACTGGCTCTTGCTTCTTGAAGCATTTGTTACTCTGATCACCTCTGCTGAAGTTACCAAGGTCAATATCTTTCTTTACCAATTTATTATGTTTTGCTTGTAGCTTTTAGTACCTAAGATGTTTCATTTTAATAAGGTAAACTATAAGTGTTATTAATAAGAGGCATCCATATGATGCAAAGTACAAAAGTATTGATGAGTGAGAGGATGTTTGGTACACTATAAGCAGGTCAAATTGGCTTATAAACACCTTTTCGCGTATCTACGGGTTTGGTAAACATCCAAAATGCTTATAAGTCTAAATCAACCAAAAGTTATAAGTTGGTCACCCCCAACTTATAGCTTTTCAGCTTATAAGCACTAAAGTACAACTCACTGTAGACCAAAAATGTTGAGGAACCTGTTCCAACTTCCTCTGGCCACTGTATAGGGTAGGAACCATAATTACCAAAGTTCTTGAAAGAATCCAAAGGTTGAGACAAGACACTTCTTTGACCATATTTTAGCTGCAGCTGCACACAGTTGTCGCAAATAGATTATAATGGAGATTTTCATCCCTCATTTGCTCTTGGAAATTGGAAACAGATAATTGCGAAGGTATCCCAACTTCGTTTGGTGTATACCTGTAATATCTAGGCCCTTGATGCACTTGTAAAGAATAAAAATATGGGTAAAAGTTTAAATTGTAAATGGTAGAATCTTTGCTGTTTTAAGGGTAATGCCGAAATGGAATCAGTAAACTGCATGAAATATTGTAGTGTCATGCTCCGAAAATATTGATTTTGTTACTTGCAGGATTCATTACGAACAACAATTCAAGGAAACTGAAAAGGTGGAAAGTAGATGGCCAGGGAGTGTCAGAACATGACGGAGCTTGTAGATAGTTGGACAATTAAGCAATTGTATGATGCTGCAGAGCATCTAGCGGATGTAAGGTTTTTTCTCGAGAAACTGGAGCAAGTTCAGCCTGAGAACGCGATATCTGCACAACTGGGGGCACTATTTGTAGAAGCTTATGATGGANGGATCTTCTGAGATATGGTCTCACATGGATCAATGCCAGTGGACTTGCACCATCAGAATGATGATTTCAAAGGTGCTTAAAATAATTAAACTGGAGAATATTGCTGAGCGACTCAAACCTGCAAAGCCATCCACATCAACTAGCCCAATGATTTTAGAGGTGCTGAAAATAACTAAACCTGAGAATATTGCTAAGCGAATCAAAGCTTCAAAGCCGTCAAGTTCACCTGGCCTAATCACTATGGAGATGGTGGGTTTTATCGAAGTTTTGCTTGATACTGCTCATGACAAACTGTTGTCCTTTAGTTTAGTGCATGCCTCTCGCTTGTATGTGCTTAAAAGGAAGCTGAGGTATCTACAAGTCTTCTTCACGTTAACGACAAGGTGGTGCATTGAGCATGAGAATATGAAGGATCTCTTCACCCATGTTGAGGATGTAGCTTACACTGCGACACACATGTGTTTCTTAGGGGTGGGCAAAGCTATGGATCGCGAGTTCTCTGAATTGCTGGAAAAGATAAGTCCTTTTAAGCCTGAATTGAGGCAGATTTATAAGAGCCTCTTGACAGTGTCAAAGTCATCATTGTTAGATACTACAATGAATGTAAGGATAAGTCCTTTTAGCTTTGTCAGTGCTCTCCAAGAGGATCTGAAAGAGCTAGTAATCCGTGATACTTCCTTGAAAGTTTTCCTTGACAATCAAATTCCGTGGCTTCAACAAGGACTTCTTTATCTTTCTAGATATCTCCGGGACATAGAAATAGAATTCACTCCACTCGAAGAATTCAATTCTCTTCAATCAAATATTGTGGCCCTGGCCATTGAAGCAGCAATTGCCATCTACTCCTCCTATGATGAGGAAATGGACGAAACTACTGAAATGAAGCGCNATGAAGTTTATGGTCGTATAACAAGTAGCACAGAAATTGCATACAAGGCAGAGTATGTCATTGACTCGTGCTTGGCCTGTTCTTATCCACTCTGGTACAAAGTTCTTTGGATTTCTGAAGTTGTTAAGAATATTAATCTTGTAAATGCAGTTGTTAGTGAGACTTGTGAAAGAAAGAATAATGATGTGGCAGTGACCGCAGCTGCAAAGACCTCCGGTAATCTTTTACCATCATTATCAGCCAATACTCCAAGAACAAATGAAGAAATGGAGGGATTTCAGGATGCGATGAACGAATTAAAGAAGCAGCTACTTGAAGGATCACCTGAGCTAGACGTTATCTCAATATTTGGCATGCCCGGATTGGGTAAGACTACACTTGCAAAGAAGATTTACAGTGACCCAATAGTCACCTCTTACTTTGATGTCCGTGCTCAGTGCTGTGTGACTCAAGTATATTCATGGCGAGAATTGTTGCTTACCATTTTGAATGATGTGCTTGAGCCTACTGATCGCAATTTAAAAGAAGATGGCGAATTAGCTGATGAGCTGCGTCGATTCTTGTTGACCAAGAGATTCTTAATTCTCGTTGATGACGTGTGGGACACTAAAGTGTGGGACTATTTACATATGTGCTGTAGAGGTTCTCGCAACGGGAGTAGAATTATTCTAACGACACGGCTGAGTGACGTTGCCAGTTATGCTCAATGTTATAGTAAACCCCATCATCTTCGTTTATTCAGAGATGATGAGAGTTGGACATTATTACAGAAAGAGGTGTTTCAAGGAGAGATCTGTCCACCTGAACTTCTTGATGTGGGGTTTCGAATAGCAAAAACTTGTGGAGGGTTGCCTCTCTTCATTGTGTTGGTTGCTGGTGTTCTGAAAGAGAAAAAGAAGAAAGCAGAATTGTGGAAAGAAATAGAAGAAAGTCTAGGTTCGCAGAACATTGGTTGCTTGGAAGAGAGCATGTCTATGATTGGATTCAGTTACAAGAATTTACCACACCAGCTGAAGCCTTGTTTTCTCTATTTTGGAGGATTTTTGAAGGGCAAGAATATTCATGTCTCAAAATTGACTCGGTTGTGGCTTGCCGAGGGTTTTGTACAAGCAAATAAGGGACCAGAAGATGCTGCACAAGGTTTCTTGGAAGATCTTATTAGTAGAAATTTAGTGATGGACGTGGAGAAGAAACCCAATGGCAAGGTGAAAACATGCCGGATTCATGATCTGTTGCACAAATTCTGCTTAGAAAAGGCCAAACAAGAGAATTTCCTTCTCCGGATAAACGGGTATAAATAATTATTGCACTAATTTTATTATACTAGTTTCTAGGTACGCGCAATGATGTGTCCCTTGTCTCAAATATTATGTTTATCCCTACTCATTTTCATCTTTTTCCTTTAATCAGATTCTGTGTAGGGGACACATTTCCTGAAAAGCCTATGGAATATATACTGTTTATTCATTCTTCCGAGGATCATATTGATCAGTGGCAGCCATCTCGTTCAAATGTTCGCTCCTTAGTACTCAATGTGATTGATCCGGATAACTTGTTATGGCCGCATAATATATCTTTTATCTTTGACAGTTTCAAACTCGTTAAAGTGTTGGATTTGGAATCTTTCAACATTGGTGGTACTTTTCCGAGTGAAATACAATCGCTAATACATTTGAGGTACTTTGCTGCTCGTACTGGTGCAAGTTCAATTCCTTCATCTATAGCTAAGCTATGGAATCTTGAAACTTTTGTGGTACGAGGATTGGGAGGAGAGGTGAAATTACCTAGTTCACTTCTGAAGCTGGTGAAATTAAGGCATATACATGTAAAGAATTGTGCTTCATTTAGTTTGCATGACAACATGGGTGAATCACTTGCTGACTGTCAATTAGATAATCTGGAAACCTTTTCCACTCCACATCTCTCTTATGGTGAAGATACAGAGATGATATTGAGAAAGGTGCCAAAATTAAGAAAGCTGAGTTGCATATTTTCGGAAACATTTGGTTATTCAAAGATAGTTATGGGAAGGTGTGTTCTTTTTCCCAGATTGGAGTCCCTAAGTCACCTTGAATCCCTCAAGCTTGTTTCCAACAGCTATCCAGCTAAACTTCCACATGTCTTCAGTTTCCCCTCAAGACTAAGGGAATTGACTTTATCAAAATTTCGTCTACCTTGGAGCCAAATTTCAACGATCGGAGAGCTGCCTAACTTGGAGATTCTTAAGTTACATCTCAGAGCCTTTGAAGGGAATCATTGGGAGGTGAAAGATTCAGAGTTCCCTGAACTCACATACTTAGAATTGGACGACATCAATATTGCACAGTGGTCTGTATCTGATAATGCTTTTCCTAAGCTTAAATGTTTGGTTTTAACCAAATGTAAGCGGCTTGAGAAAATCCCTTCTCATTTTGATGATTCTGTATCTCTAAGAAGCATTGAAGTAAATTGGTGCAACTTGTCAGTTGCCGAGTCAGCCCAGGAAATTCAGACAACGCAACATGAAGAAATGGCAAATGGTGCGTTCACTGTTAGAATACAGCCTCCAGATTGGGCTACAAGATCATCTCCTTTGACTCTTATCTGGTATGTTTTTGTCATGTTCTCTCATTCGGTCTTCTTTTACCCCAAAATATGCTTATTTGTTACCTATGTTGCTCGGACTCTCCAAAAAACTTTCCAGGTGCGTATCAGATCCTCCAAAAACAGTGTATTTTTAAAGGATCTGACACGGGTACGACATCATTTTGGAGAGTCCGCACAACATAGTTTGTTACTACTATTATACTTATTCCAGTTACCTGCTCTTATTGAAAAGAAAGAGAACAGGTCATCTGCTATATTCTTGAATCTGAGTGCTAGACTTGCTCTATATCCGGATTCGCGCCGCGTAAGGCTCCATTCGGGGGGAAACGCTCCATACCAAGGATTTTTCTGTACCCAGGGCTTTAACCCGAGACCTCTGGTTAAGGGAAGAACAACCTCATCGGCTGCACCACATCTTTGGTGGTAAGAAGTGAAGTGTTTGAATGAACATAAACACTGATTTGTGGTGAAACTTGTAATAAACGTCTAACAACTTGGAAATTTGAAATGACTTTATTAATAGCTACCAAATAACCTGCAGTTTACAATTTCAATGTTTCTGTTTTTCGAATCTACGTTACTTATCTTGAAGAAATGACTGTTATTTGTTGAAACCTTGATATCTTGATTCATAGACTAGTATTTCTGTTAAAATAAAGTAACATAAGAAAGAATAACTCCAGAATTTGAAAAGCTAGTCTATATTTAGTGGGTGCTTGGACATAAGAATTGCAAAATTTCGAAAAGAAATCAATCACTGATCCAATTTGAGTACCTCTGCAGGATAGACCTCAACAGAAAATTGAAAGTGAATTTTTTTAAAGTAAAAATGATATTTAAAAATTAGAGTTGTGTTTGGATATAAATATAATTTGGAGCTGTTTTTGAATTTTTGTGAGTGATTTGAATTGAAAATTTTAAAAACAACTTTTTGGAGATTTTCAAGTTTTCGAATTCTTTTGAAATTTAACTTCAAGTGAAATTTGAAATTTTCATGGATTTTGGAAAAATAAAATAAAATTGGAAAAAAATGATTTTTTTTTTTTGGTCAAACGGGCCCTTAATAATTTGGGAGTTGTCAAATACAACTGAACTAAGAAAAGAACTTAACTATTTGTTGCTCAATTCCATCATATTAATATCCACTGTAAACTCAGTAGGGATTATAAAAGTTCAATGCAATATTAATTAATTTACTAGTTGCGATTAAAGAGGACGAATTTGGGTGATAAAATAGGACATACAATATATCCTCGTGGATAAATATGTATTTCTATTGAGACAAGTGAAAGAATAAGTCCATCATTAAAAGACTTTAATCTAATTCGTAGATAATAAATAAATATTTTATGCTATTATATAAGTCTTCTAAAAAATAACTACAACATATAGGTAACTCAACTGTCTATTATGGATGAGGCTGTTAACCTGAAAAATAAGGCAGATCATCCACTATAATAGCTTTAACAAATCGATGCTGCAAAATTAATAATGCTGTCAGAATATATAAGTTAATTCATTAAAAAGAAAATCATATGTTCCCACGGATTAGGCCAATGTGCTTTGTGCAAACCATTACAAATCTGGACGAAATTCAAAAATAGCCAGATTTACAAGTGGTAATAGAAAAAATAGTCACAGTTTTAAAAGTAATCGAAGTTTAGCTACTTTTCATGTAAAAATAAATTTGAACGAAAACACTGTTCAAAATCCGAAAAATATTCCAGCAATATACTGGAATTCCAGCATAATATACCGGAGTTCCAACATAATATGCTGGGGCTCATACACAGATGTTCCAATCTCCAGTATATTATGCTGGAACATTCCGTGTATTGGAGTTCCAGCATAATATGCTGGAAGTTAATACACAGGTGCACCAATCTCCAGTATATTATGCTGGAACATTCCGTGTATTGGAGTTCCAGCATAATATGCTGGAAGTTAATACACAGGTGCACCAATCTCCAGTATATTATGCTGGAACTTTTCGTGTTGCAACAAAATAATAGTTATTTTTCAATAACTTTGCAAATGCTGGCTATTTTTTAATTACCAGTCTGAAAACTATCTAGCCAATGTTATTTTCACTATAAATGATCTCAACCAGGCCCATGCCCATTTAGTTGTATCGCCCGACCCCGGGGCAAGTGCACAGATAACCATTTTTAGTAATGCTATTTAGAAACTAGCCATTACTTATTTTTTCTTGAAATTTTAAACTAAAAATCTTAACTTAAGGATAATTCATGATCTTTTTATCATGAAAAATTGAACTGAAAAACTAAAATTTAGAGCACAATGACTAACTTCTAAATAACAATTCTTTAAAGCGGCTAGCCGGTGTCATTTCTATCGAGGGACCAGCCGTGTTCTGTTACGGAGTCCATTTTCATTTATTTCACATTGTCCAATCCTAATAGAGAAATACAGCAGTACAATCAAACTACTGTAGTAAGAAATATCTTAAACGAGCATATACTAAAAGAAAAGACCACTCAATTACTGTAATCAAAATCTCGGTTGGCATAGTACAAGGTAAACTAGAGAACTGGAACAAAAGATCAAAAAGAGCTTTCTTTTCTCTCTACTATGAACTCTCAACCATATGAACCTTCATCTTCAATACCACCTAAGCTACCGGACATCACTGCAGATACCACCATGAATATAGACTCCCCTGTTTCCCATGCACAACTAGAAGATTTTACTTCAAAATCTTACCTTCATACACTCCTCTCCCGCAATAGCATACCTTCCTATACTAACACCACTTCCTCTATTAACCCTAGTTTAGATAACCTTGAAGAAACAGAGGCACCTACTGATCCTTCCAATTTCATTCCATTAACACTTGAAGAGAAAATAAGGCTTTATGCCCCATGGAAGCATGTTGTTATTGTCAAAGTTTTTGGTCGAAAGGTTGAACACTAACTTCTTGGGCAAAAAAATTATGCCCAATGGAAACTAACTGAAAACCTTCCATTAATCGATCTAGGATCTGACTTTTTCCTTCTCAAATTCCAAAAGGAGGAAAACAAAATTCATGCCTTGCAAGATGGACCCTAGTTCGTCTTGAACCATTTTCGCTCTATCCGTCAATGGGAGCCAAAATTTATGGCTTCTGAAACAAAAATCACATCTTCAGCAATATGGTTACGTCTGTCAGAATTACCCATTGAATTTTACGACATTCAGCTACTGCAAAAATTGGGAAATAAATAGGTAAACTTCTTACAGTTAACGCATGCACCTCTACAACAACACGAGGCAGATATGCACGGTTATGTGTGGAGGTACCTTTGGATCAACCGTTAAAATCATCTTTTTATAGGCAGCCATAACCAAACTATCTTTTACAAAGGATTAAACATGCTTTGTATTAAATGTGGTAGACTTAGCCATAACTAGAGGACATGTTCTTATATCCCACCCCCAAATTCCACTACACATATCACTCCGTCAACACAGTCTAGTAATGACGAATGGAAGATTGTACAGTTTCCAAAGAAATCTCCAATGAAAACAACTGCCACAACAGATTTTACTTCTTCAGCTTCTCCATTCCCAAGGTAAGCATGTGAAGCCAATAGATATAATTAACAACCCTAACAAGCTTTTGTTTAATAATCTATCTATTAACACTATTAATCCTTCACAAAATAATATTTATACTAAAGACTCCACATCAACTGTATTAAATACTAATAAAGGTGTCACATCAAATTTTTTAACTACTAATCAATTTGACATCTTATTAAATAATGAAAGGGATGATTTTACTACTATAGTCGGCCCTTTAATTAAACCCCCCTCCCTAACAGACAAACTTACCCCTACGACCCAATCACAATACAAACACACTCCAACACCTATCCAAATCCATGCAAACGGACACGATACCCCAACCCACATGCAAGCATTCTCACCACCCTTAACCTAATCCAACACAACATCCCTACAAAACCTAGTAACAAACCTACCTAATCATCACACTTCTAATTCCTATGTCGGTTTTCCCTCCTCATCATGCCACAATACTATATCTTCCATGCAAACCATATCTAAAGATACAACACCTACTACCACTCAATTACCTCTACATCAAAATCCTTCAACTCATAATACTCCACCGTCCAATTCCACCACTTCAACATACTCCTCGTTAAATCAGACTCCAATTTCTATACAACACAACCCTCATCCCTTATCCAATCCTTCAAATACAAAGATGATCCCAAACAACTTTAACCATCTTCACAGACAACCCAATACTCCCAACACACAAAACATTCATCGTTTCAGTCATCTTCACAATCCATACTCCCTCCCACCTTCACATCTAATTATGGAACCCAACATCATAATATACACTGCTCAAACACCACATGCAATAACAAAACCATCATTTTGGCTAGAGATTGCCCTTCAAAACAATGCTTTAACCTTCACTATGAAGGTAAATCATCAGGAAATGACAATCCTCATCAACAATCCAGTGGACCTTGCGTAAATAGTAATGGAGGGAATGACCCTAGGGGCGAAACTCTATGACCGGTACTATTGGTCTATGATGCAAAGTCCATATCTGGCACCATATCATCCTCTCCAGCTACCAGCACCCTTTTGGGACCCCACCCACCTTCACCCACAATATCTTCAGATGCCTTTTTATCCACTTCCCCTCCAAACTCCAACAACACCATGGATACAACCCTATTCAGTCCCATAGAACCCCACTCCCATATTGGAACCCCTTACACCTCCTCTTCTATCCCCACCAAACCCTCACAATCAAGTAGAATAAAACAGAGCGTTTCAAGAAGAACTCGAAGCGGCGATACTTTACAACAGGGAGACAAGACCAGTGCATGCATGGCTAGATGGAATAAAGGTCTTTGTCCAGAAAGAGGAATACGAAAGAAAAATTTACATTTGTTGTCCCTCAAATCTAATGGCAACATCCCTTCGCATCAGGCCCACAATCAATCCAGACATGGGCAAATATGTAATGCTACTAATGCCAACCCTACGTCTGAGACCAGGAGAGAGCACCACTACAATGAGGAACTCATAGAGCAGCCCACTGCTCACCCCAAATGATACTCATATGAATTTCTATCATATGGAATTGTAGAGGAGCCCAGTCTGCGGATTTTCGACGTAAGTTTTGCTCTTTACTTGACTACAATCGTCTTTCTTTGGTTGTGCTATTGGAAACACACTACCAGGATCATCAAAATTTGAAAGAGGAGTTCAATTTCACTGGATTAATGAGGAAGCTGCTATTGATCAGTCGGGAGGTATAGCCATTTTATGGCTTTCTGATGCACTCACAGTAGAACTAGTGGCATCCACACACCAAGAGATACATTGCCACATCCAGGTACACCCCTCTACTCTAAAGTGTCTATTTACTGCAATTTAAAGTGATGATTTAGGTAATAGACATATTCTTTGGAATAACATTATGTGCATGCATGATAATTATAAGGGACCTTAGCTCATAGGGGAGATTTTAATGACATCACTCATGCAAATGATAAATTTGGAG